TAGGTGGACAACAACAGAATTTTATACGGAATAAATTCTTTAATGGAAATTAAGTACACACTTGGAAAAACTTATAAATTACCACCTTGTTCACCATGTGTGCTGTGTCTCCAAAGTTCCACATTGTTTCTTCCTCACTTTTCCAGCATTTTCTCTTGCATTCTCCATAGAGAGCCCTTGTCACTGATCATCCAGGGGCTCAGTGCCAGCACTGATGGATGTTTTTGATATGGACAATATGGAAAACCATCTGCAGGGCAAACAGGCACAGGTTACCTGTGAATAACACAGATTACCATCTTCTACGGGTTTATAAAACAACTCTGCTGTTTAGTTTATAAAATAACAGTGCTATTTTTAAAGATGAACTTTGCACTGCTTTGACTGAATCTGGAATCAGAACATAATGGTAACTCTGACCTTAAATGTAGGCACATTACATGTCACTAATTTAATTTAGCTTTTATATTATTATTTTCCTTTTGCTAATGTGGTACTGTATCCAGAAGTTCATATGCAGGAAACTGCTTTTTCTATACAGTTGAATCAGAAGTGCCATTCCCCTCCAAAAAACCCCACACATTTATTTTTTATGTGTAGGGTCTCTTGAAATCAGTTAAGGAGCCCTGTGCCATTGTGTAAGCACATAATCTGTGTAAACATCACCAGGGGCAGCTCATGTTCAAGCAAAACCTAAATCAGAAAGTTCAGTAATTCCACTTTTTGTTAACAAAATATTTTCAGATGAAATCATGGTGTATAACAAAGGAAGGGGAAAAAATAAAAACCCAACAAAACCAAACAATACAGTTTAATAAGAAGCAGATTCTGTTTGTTTAAAAAGTACTCAAGGCATGAAAGCACGGACTGAAAAAATCCTCCTGCTACATCAGAACTGACTCTGAGGCACAGAGTGCCCTCATTTCCCAAAGTCATCAATGTCCTGATCCTACTGCAATTAGCAGCAGCTAATGTAGGTGATGAGCAAAAGGGAGCAGGATTTTGGCACAGTACAGTACAGATTTCGGCACAGTACCCAACCCAGCAGCAGCAGGACAAACCAGAAGTGATTAAAAGACAGAAGACAGAGTGAAGGAGAAGGACAAGGTGGGAATGCCAAGTACTGAACACTTTTGGCTTTTGGTTCTCTGGAGCAGCACTGCTGGTACCCAAGCCCTCCTTCAGTCATTCAGTCCAATGTTCCAATTGTGCAGGCAATTTCATACCAGCTGGAAGCCTTAAACTACAACACTGATCCTTGTTCTTAATAAAAAATTAACACATTTGATACCTGTATGACAAATCACAATGGTAAAGTTGTGCTCTAGAAGCAATAACATTTTATTTATGATTAATCTTTCCATGAGCTCTTTCATGATTGTTGTGAAGGTACTCAATTGCTTGCTCTAACTGGAAAAGGTATTTTTAAGTCCTTTGTTATCTAATCCATGGAAATAACACTGGAGCTAATCTAGAATTGTATGACTGATAAATTCCAACACTAAGTGAAGTCTTTTCTTTCTGCTTAAATACATGAATCAGGTTAACAATATCCTTATGATGAAATCATTGTTGGTAAAAAAGAAAAACACTTTCTACCATGGCTTTTTATTTCAGTTCATAGAGACTTCCTCTAAAAGGCTGACAACAAAAACTGTAATTTGCTTAACTAAAGACTGTCATTAATTTGAAAACACGCTAAAAGTCTTTGTTTCTGCTCCCTCAGCCTTCCTCCAATATTCAAACACATTTACCACATTACTTTTCATGGTGCATCTTCAGGCTCTGAACCAATACAGCAGCACCAGGAATACAGCAAAGAAAGGAGCAGCTCCTTTCAGCAGCTTAAAAATATCCTCTTGAATGTGTTTTATTTACACTAATAAATCATGTATAAGAACTCCTATATTAAAAGAATCACAGTAAAAATATACTTTTTCACACTGAGGTCCATTTACCATTTAATTTGTACCTTACTAGCTGCTGATAATTTGAAGCAGTTTTAGGTTAACTACAAAGCTGGTTTTAACTCAATATAGAAGTATGTTATTTTAATTACACCTCCTCCCCCTTTTTTTTAATTGAGGGCTACACTCTCACTGGACATCAGTCTGTGTTTAGAGGGAGCTTCGAGGGAAGCTGAGGAACCCATATGGCAAAATGTGCCATTATCCCTAATTAAAAATTGATAAGAACTAAATTTTTAAAACATCCAGTTACTGCAAAGAGTGGAAATGGGATGGATATAAAGTACAGAAGTAAGAATCCAAATAAGTAAGAATCTAAATTTATACCCTTGCAATCTGACCAGAAGTTATTGTTTCTGTACTTTGCACAACTTCAGTTAAATCACAGTGAGCTGGTGTGTCTGGCAAGGAGAAAAGCCAGCCTGACGCATGTCCAGACTGAAATTCTTGGGGACTTTTCACAGGCAGAGGTCTGAACTCAAACTGAGCTTTTAGGGGAAATCCCTACCACAATGCTGAAATATCTTTGTGAGGAAGTGCTTGTGGATAATCCCAGTGGTGTTTGGGGATGGCCCAGCCCTGGTGCAGTAAAGACACCGCCCCTGCCGTGGCCAATGTGTGCTGGGGAGCTCGGGGAGGAACCAGGGCCTGGTGATGCAACCCCCGGCTGGCACAGGGCCCTGGGGAGCCACAGGGCTGGCTGGAGGATGGCCCCGATCTTCAGGGCTGGGAGATGCCTCTCAGCTGGCTCTGCTGTCCCTCCCCACGGCCAGCTCTGCTGTCCCTCCCCATGGCTGGCTCTGCTGTCCCTCTCCATGGCCAGCACTATTGTCCCTCCCCATGGCCAGCTCTGCTGTCCCTCTCCATGGCCGGTTCTGCTGTCCCTCCCCATGGCCAGCTCTGCTGTCCCTCCCCATGGCCAGCTCTGCTGTCCCTCTCCATGGCCGGCTCTGCTGTTCCTCTCCACAGCCAGCTCTGCTGTCCCTCCCCATGGCCAGCTCTGCTGTCCCTCCCCATGGCCAGCTCTGCTGTCCCTCCCCATGGCCAGCTCTGCTGTCCCTCTCCATGGCCGGTTCTGCTGTCCCTCCCCATGGCCAGCTCTGCTGTCCCTCTCCATGGCTGGCTCTGCTGTCCCTCCCCATGGCCAGCACTATTGTCCCTCCCCATGGCCAGCTCTGCTGTCCCTCCCCATGGCCAGCTCTGCTGTCCCTCCCCATGGCCAGCTCTGCTGTCCCTCTCCATGGCCAGCTCTGCTGTCCCTCTCCATGGCCAGCTCTGCTGTCCCTCTCCATGGCCGGTTCTGCTGTCCCTCCCCATGGCAGGCTCTGCTGTCCCTCCCCATGGCCAGCTCTGCTGTCCCTCCCCACAGCCAGCTCTGCTGTCCCTCTCCACAGCCAGCTCTGCTGTCCCTCCCCACAGCCAGCTCTGCTGTCCCTCTCCATGGCCAGCACTATTGTCCCTCTCCATGGCCAGCTCTGCTGTCCCTCTCCATGGCCGGTTCTGCTGTCAGATGCAGCTCCAGCTTGGTGCTGCTGTTTGGTTTTTGTTTATTTCCCTGCACAGGCTGAGGGTGACTTGGGCTTCAAAGGGCAGAGAGCTGCCCTGGGGACAGGGGATGCCCTGTCTGGGCTCTGAAGCAGTGCCTGCTAATACTGAATTCATTAAAGTTGTTAAGTGACCTTCATTTTGTGTACAGGTCCAAGCTTGCATTGGTTTTTACAGATTGCTTTCTGCCTTCCAAGTTAACAGGAGCAAAATAAAAGCTGGATAAAGGTAAAGGAGCAGTGGAATGAAAAATGGGAACGTGTGTGGTGGGAGGAGGAGAAGAGTCCAGAGGAGGGGATTGCTTGCCAGGAACCATTCCTCACTAGTGTGGGGAATCATGTTTTAGTGGCTGAGGCATTATAGTTTCCTATTACCGAGCCTTTTGGAAAAGCTTGCTCCCCTGCAGTACCAGGCTTTGTGTGAATTCCTCACTTTTGGCATCTGACTATTTGCACTAAGGTGGGGCATTGGATTAAAGTGGTCTGAGTAAATCTTTGCAGAGTTAAATCCCATCCCATGTAAAATGCAAATTCCACTTCTAAATGACCCAGACCCTGGTGCTGCTGCAGCAGGGCTGGCAGTAGCTTGGTGAAAAAGCAGCACTGAGCTTTGTGCTGTTAAACCCTGGGCTGGTGCTGTTCCACCACCTGGATGGCTGGAGGCAAAGGGCACGGGCAGGGGATGCAGACAGTGTTTATTTCTGTCATTTCATTATGAGTCCCATGATGTTTTGACCTCCTTACAATCATCTGAAAGAAAAGCAGGGAGGCACATGAAACCACACAAATCCAAGTTCAGGGATAACTTCCAAGACTGCATGCAAGAACTGGGTCACGACTTCAAAGAGACCTGCTCTGTCTGTTGGAGTAATGGGATTTTTAAAAAGGGCTGAGAGCCAGGACATCAGTCTGTATTTAGAGGGAACTTAAAGAAATGCTGAGGGACCCATATGGCAAAATGGACCATTATCCCAAATTAAAAATTGATAAGAACTAAATTTTTAAAACATCTGGTTACTGCAAATAGTGGGAGCGGGCTGAATACACAGCACAGAAGAATCTAAACGTACAACCTTGTAATCTGACCTCGAGTAATTGTTTGTGTGCTTCGCACAAGTTCAGCTAAACCGCAGTGAGCTGGAGTGCCTGGCGAGGAGAAAATCCCAGGCTGAAACGCTCCGGGAGCGTCAGGCAGCGCTGCTGCCCGGCCGGGCCCGGGTGCGGCTGTCCCATGGTGCGACTGTGCTCTCCCGACCCTTTCCCAGACCCTGTTCCCCCCGGCAGTCCCGGTTCTCTCCCGAGTCTCTCCCGGACCCTTTCCCGGGGCCTGTCCCCGGCATTCCCGCTTTCTCCCGGCCTTTTCCCGCTGCCTCCTCCCAAACTCCTCCGAGCGCGGAGCCGCCTCCCCCCCGCGTGATGCGATGGTGCGGTCCCGCCCCCCCCCCCCCCCCGCAGGCGCAGTGGTGCGGCCGGCGCAGGCCCCGCCCCGCGCGCGGAGCCGCCATTGCGGGTTGTTTGTGCGGGCGCGCAGCAGCGCGGGCGGGAGGCGGCGCCGCGGCTCCGCCATGTCCACCCCGGCGCGCCGCCGCCTGATGCGCGACTTCAAGAGGTGAGCGGGGCCGGACCCGCCGCTGCCCCGCGCCCGGGGCTGGCACCGAGCCCCCCCGGGCAGGGCAGCGGCAGAGCCGGGGGGAGCGGGGGCACCGCCGGGGGAGCGAGGGGTCCCGCCGGGCAGCGCCGGCTTTGTTCGAGCCGCCTCGCCCGGGCGCCGACGGCTGGGGGCGTGTGAGGATCGGAGTTGGAGCGGTGTCTGCGGAGCCGGGAGTGCCCGCGGGGTCACGGGGCGCCGGGCTGGCGGGGCTGCGGGCCCTGCCGGGCCGGGCCCGCTCCGCTGGCAGGGCCGTGCCCGTGCCCGTGCCCGTGTCGGGCCGCCCGGCCCGCACCCCAGAGTGCGGCCGCAACCCGCCGGCTCCGGCTTTGGGATAGCTCGGGTAGAATTCACAAGTGTTCCGGGCTTGCTGATCAGGGGATCTCTCTGAAAATGAGTTTGTTGTGATAGGCACCTGGAAACGAAGCGCAAAGAGTTAGCGAACGCTTCGTTTGTGTGTTATAAGAACCAAAATGCCCTTTAATGTTTTTATGCACAATCGTGTGATATCGTGTTCAAAGTTTGCAGTCGTGAAGATTCTTGTGTAATATACGCGAACTGCTAAAGGAGCAGTTATTAGTTGCACTTTTAAATGTTAATGACTGAACCACTGACTCTGGAATAAATTATTTCCAGTCTGACACGTAAACATACTTAGAACAGAGTGTGGAAAAGGGTGGGAGGTTTCCTTGTAGGATGTACAGTAAGAGTTCTCCAGGCTGGGTCGCTCAGGAGTAGTTGGAGGTGAGTCAGCTTTGATAGTGTCTCTTTTTTTAGCATAGCTATGTTATACCAGGCCCTGAAAACACATCAGTAAACACTTGACGTGTATTGTAGTTGCTTTACGTGGCTGCACGTAAAGCATCAGCGACAAAAGCCTGATTCGTGCATGTGGAAGCAGGAGGAGGTTTTTGGGAAGTGGAGCCCTCCCCTGCTGTTGTGCGAGTGTTGGTGTTTGTTAAGTGGGTGTTGCTTGATTCCTGTTCAAATCAAAACAGGATATTCAGACTTTTTATTGTATTTGCTTACACAGATGAACCAGTGATTTTTTTTCAGGCTGACTAACTCAGTTTTTCAAGATTGCAATCAGATGTGGGTTTTATGCTTTCATATTCCTACAAGGAATGGTTTAATAATTTTGAAGTTAAGGCTGGAGAGAAGATTCTAAAGCTGTGGAAAAATATAACCAAGTAGACAATGTAAATCAAATCCATTTGTCATATATCTAGCGACTTTGATATTCCAAAACTTATGTAACTTTTTCATGTCAGTTTTTGTTTTACTCTGCTCTTTTATGCTGCAAGTTTTGTATTTGTTTCTTATGTTACTTGTACTTCATACTGAAAAAACAGACAGTGTGCTGTGAGCTCTGATTCACTTCATTAAATATAAACTGCTTTTGCATACTGTGATTGTCAGGAGCAGTGAAGAGAGAGAACTTCAGCAGATTTCTTACCTCCTCTAATTTGTTTGAATAAACCAAAATAAATAAAAGGTTATTTATTTACTTTGCTGATAAAAAGGGAGTACTCAAACCACATTTTTCCTGCTGTTTAGGACTTTCATGATTAGTCCTGTTTGCAGTCCTTGCCAGATCCTGTCTGTAGTTAGACCCTGTGACAAGCAGGGTGCACACGTGCTTTGAAGTTGATCTAAAAGCCAAAGTCATCTCCCAGATGCTTTTGTCGGGCTAATGCTCAGGCACTGCTGCTGGCCTGCAGCCTGGCTGTCACGTAGGAAGAAATCCTGTTCCTGCTTTCCCTGACCAAAATAGTAGGTGGTTTATGCTGTTGATACTCAGCTGTCTGGACTGTGTGTGCTCAAAGAGCAGAGATGTAAACACAGAGTTTAAAGAGGCTCTGTAGGGCAGCAGCACTGCTCAGCATCCTTGGACAACCCACGGTGTTACCCCAGGCTGAGGCAGTGCAAGTGCAGGGAGGATTGCCTGTCTGTGCTGCTGACAGCTCTCAGTAAATCTGCATTTGCATGTGGCATTGAGTTAGAATTTGTCCCTTGGTCTGCAGAGCTTTTTGTAGTGACTTGTTTATAAGTGTGCTGTGATATTATCAAACCTCATGGTAACACTCAAGAGTTGTTTGTGACACAAGGGCAGTCACTGCATTTTCCTTATTCCTGTATAACTGTGGAGGTAAAACAGGTGAGGGGAGTAGGAGCTGTCACTGAGGGGGTTTGAGCAGGTGGATTGATTGGGACCTGCTGGTGTACAGTTGTCAGGGTCTTGTGATCCTTAATATGGATCAGTGATGGGCACAGGGGGGCATTTGGATCCTGTCCTTTGGCTGCAGTACATATTTCTGGTTCAAGTTTGTGAAGCTTTCAGTGAGCAACATGCTTTTGCCTAGTCCGAGGATTAAGGAACTAAAAATAATTTTAAATGTTCCTGTAATTGCTTTAGAGATAAACACATTTGTGGGGCTGGTAAGAGGAAGTAGCAGCATGCAGGTTTCCCCTTTGCTCTCTTTTGAAGCAATCAGCTTGTCAGTCAAAATAGGCTTATACCAAATATAGCCACTTGTCATGCATGGATCTGGGGATGCAGGAAAAGCTCCCCTGATGGTCCCTGCCCTGAGTCCCTTGTGTGTGTGTGTGCCACTGCCTGGATTTCAGCTCTTGCTTGTGCCTGCAGCTTGTTCTCCTCTTCACTGTGGCAGCCAGCAGCAATTGCTCTCTCATAGTTCACAGTGTAGCACCATAAATCCCAGCTGTCCATGGTGCTATAAGTTATTCTTACAGTTAATCCTTTGCTCCCTGAACACTTAATCAGACCTCTTGTGCCCTTGTGTCTCAGTGTAAAACATGAGAAAATCTTGATGTGCATTGCCTTGTAGGTCTGTCTTTCAGAGTGTTGATAATCTGCATGGAATGCTTTGTGTATTCTCTGATCTGGAATGAGAAAATGTTTATAAAATGTGGATATTACTGGTAAGTTATATCTGCAGGTGGAAATATTTCATATGTATGACTTGTCATTCTATGTTTGTAATTCTTAGATTGCAAGAAGACCCTCCTGTGGGTGTCAGTGGTGCACCATCTGAGAATAACATAATGCAATGGAATGCAGTTATATTTGGGTAAGAGTTTTTGGTCACTATGAAATTCAGTATTAGAGGGCTAAATATGACAACCTGATGTTTATATTTACAGTTATTCTCTTGTTTCATGTATGTAAAGTCAGTAAACTTAAAAAATAGCCAAGGTAAAAATCTCTTTTCACAGATAACGGGGAATGGTTAGGAAGGAAAAAAACTAAATTTTAAATTTGTTCAGCTTTTTTGTTGAATAAAGCTTGCATGTGGCTTAATAAATAGGTTATATACTGTGTTATGAAAAATAGGTTATACCTGTGTTATGAAAAAGCAGAATTCTTCTTTAAAGTACATAAGTGCCACATGTTCTCAGCCATTAAATCCAGATGTATTAGTGATTGGATTGAATCCTAGTAGGACAAGGTACAGGATCTGTCTGGGAAGTTACAGTATGGATCCTGTGGAAGAGGACTTAATATCCTTTCATCAAACTGAAGTGTGCTTGCTAATAATCTGCTCATTTGTTCTAAACTAGTCACCTAAAGCATATGTATTGTTTGGGATGATGATAAAGTTGATGTCCCAAATAGCAGGTGACTGTGGGACATGTCTTAAATACAACAAAGCTCTCAGAGATTACCTCTGGATGCTTCTCTAATAATTTAAATTATTGCTTCTGCCTGTATCTTGGAGAGGATGAGAAAGAAGATATACATTTATTGTGCCTGTGTGGAAGTAGGTAACGATCACTTTTAACTGGAGTTATTTTTTTTTAAACCTTTCAGGCCAGAAGGGACACCTTTTGAAGATGGTAAGTTGCTGACTTTTGTATCCTTTGTCATTCTAATAAATGTTAACAGTACTAACATTGTTCTGCTTTTGAAAAATAATAGATGTGTATCATTTGAAACAAACCAAGTAAGTGAAGCAATGAGGGCTATAAAAATATGTATCTTAATCTAAGCAGTGTCTCATTGTGCTGGCTCATGGTTGGTGAGAAAACTATGAAGCAGTGCTTCTGTCAAGGCTTTTTCATACATACCCACAAGAGCTTTTAGCAGGGATTATTGGCCTGACACTGCCAGGTGTGTTTGCACATCTCTTTAGCTGAGCTCAACAAGAGCTTTTCTCGTTTCATCTTTTGGCATGTTTGATTCATCACTGTTCTCCTAATGAAGAACAGGTGAAAAACCTCGAGGTGTTCTCAATATAGATAGAACTCAGTGAGGTTGAGGGAATCCCAGATTTGTACATAAACATGAAAGCTGGTGTGTAATGACCCTCCCTCAGGCATATGAGGAATAATGAGTTTAATAATTATAGTATTATTGCAGTAATTGGCAGCAGATGGGTTTTTCTCTGTGTTGGGTTGGAGGAATTACAGTAAATTATTCACTGATCCATAACAAAGGTTTTCAGTGAATCAGTTGTGAGCTCCAAAGACTGAGATTGCTGATTATGAAATTCCAGTGTTTCTTTGCTGGCACCACAATGCCTTCTTAATGAAACGCCTTAAAGTCACCCAAGTCCATGGGCCCAGCATCCCTGGGTCATGGAAAGGTGGGATAATGTTGGATACTGCCTTTGCCATGTATGCAGTGAGTCTCCAAGCTCCTACCCAACCACTACTGCTGGGTTTGTTACTCTAAGCAGTCATTCCATAGTTCCAATATCACTTGAAATATATGAAAAGCAATCAGATTCAGTGTTGGGTTTTTTTTTAGATATGGTGAGGAGAAATACTGGTCATGGAGCACATAAATTAATTTGTTATCTATGTTCCTGGATATGTTCTTTTGTTGTTAATTGTCTGATTTTATTTATCTTTGTTTGGACAGGTACTTTTAAACTAGTAATAGAATTTTCTGAAGAATATCCAAATAAGCCTCCAACTGTTAGGTTTTTATCAAAAATGTTCCATCCAAATGGTGAGTAAACCATCTTTATTTAGCTGTAATACTCATTAAATATTACAGTGTGGTCAGGCATTCTCTGCAGCTCCAGAATGCTTAATCTCTCTTCACTGCCATCTCCTAAGTAGATGTCTAGGACAGCAACTGCTTGATGAAAAATTGAGAGTTATGATGCTATTAAGAAGCAGCTATCTGCCTCTTACTAATCAATATGTAGCCTCAGTAGCAAAGCCTGTGAGTATTTTCAGCAGCAGCAGCTGCACTTAGGTTGGTTTAAAGAGGCAGTTCTGGCTGCAGATTCCTGCCCACTTCCATTTAACAGCAGCTATGTCTGTGCAGCCACAGCATGAGCTGCAGGGAACTGCTGGAGCCAAGTGTTAATTATTCCTGCCAGGTGAGGTTTCACCCAAGTCCCTGCTTTCATCTGGTGCCCTGTGCCCACCAGGACAGCACAGGGAAGAAAATGAGGATGCTCAGTTGTAGAGGAGGAGTGTGACCCCATCTCAGTGATGAGGGCAGCTAGGAGAGTGCACTGTGCTGCCTCCCCCAGCACTGATAGGTTTTGCTGAGTGCAGGAAAAATCCTGCCTGCTGCTCCTCTGTAGAAATTATACCTCACATATTGTGCAGGCCAGGTTGTCTCTGCCACAAGGTCTGTAATTTGTTGGGAACAAGCTGGAAGACAAAGGTGTCGAAGTTTGAGCAGTGAGTCTCAGGTTCATGTGAACTCCATAGGACTGATAGGTATCCAGAGAGCAGTAGGATTTCAGGCACTTTTCCATATTTTCTACTGTCTGCCTTGGTGCCTCTCATAGTGAGTGTGTGAAAATGGGGCAGGAGCTGTCCCTGCTCATGGTGTGATGGTGTGAGGGGTTCCACTCCTGCAGTGGAGCCTTGCTGCTCTCTGGGAGACTCTCCACTGTGACCCTGTGGGTCAGGCACACTGGAGGAGCAGGACACCAAATCTGCCCCTTCCTGTGCTGATGCCGTAATCTTCAGACTTTGCTTCTTTCCCTCTTGGGCGTTCTGTTAATTTCAGTAATAAATCTTCAAATTATGTGTCAGGCCACAGAAGATGGTGAGGCAAACTGCTGTCCTCTTTCCTAAAGCATTAATAATCTCAGCACAGACTGAATTGGAACAATAACTCTGCCCTGAGCAGTGCCATAAATCTGACAGTTTCTAAGTGACACCTGTGTTGTATTTACAGTGTATGCAGATGGCAGCATATGTTTAGATATTCTTCAGAATCGCTGGAGTCCAACATATGATGTTTCATCTATTTTAACTTCAATTCAGGTAACTTTGCATCTGTTTTACCAAATAATTATGTTATTGTTGGTCTCTATTCCAGAATTCACAGCTCAGTCATGAGGTTAGCCAGGTGTCTCTATCAAGGGAAGCTTCAAATCCTTATGAGCTAAGCAGTATTTTTAGATCAAATAAAGACAAAGATGGTATGTAATCACTGATTCTGAGATCCAAAACTGCTATTATATATTTTTGCACAGGAAAGCAGTTACTGGTTTGTGTTCATTTTTAACTGTTTTTACTCAAGATAGGATATCAGATGCAGAAAATTGCCTCATGTTTGAAGCATTTAACTTTACGGTGAAGCCCTCAAAGGGACAATATTGCTGAAACACACTACTTGGAATAAGTAAAAATGGCCTGGCACAGTGGAAGTGCACAATTCCTTTGCTTCTGTGTGATTTTCTAATTTTTCAACAGTGATGTTTTGTAGTAGATATCTTAGCCCTCTTTAGTCCTGAATGACAGTATAATGTAATTACCAAATAGTCATTTAGCTCCATAGTGCTGACTAGCACAAACTGTCTCTGTTTGGTTTGTGAAGCTACAAGTGTGTGCAGCACTGATGCTTAGGCAGGGTGTAATTTGTGGGTCAGTAATATAATGAGGGGTGCCTAACCATGAGTTTAACTAGGTTTTTTAACTGGACCATTCTGAGTTGTGTCTGCCTCTGAAACACATTTGACTTGAAAGCAAGTTGATTTTTTTTCTTGATTTACATGTGTTGGTTTGTCTCACATTATATTTTCCCCTTTTTCCAGTCTCTGCTTGATGAACCCAATCCAAACAGTCCAGCAAACAGTCAGGCAGCACAACTTTACCAGGAGAACAAACGTGAATATGAGAAAAGAGTTTCAGCTATTGTCGAACAAAGTTGGAATGATTCGTAACAGCTGCTGTGTTACTCTCCATCCTCATAATCATTATGTACAATTTAACTCTCAATAGAAAGGCTACCAGAAATTTCAAGTGCCACAGTTCTATGAATTTGCATAAAAACTCATTTGCAAACAAAATTAAGCCCTCCAGTTTAGGGGAAGCTAAAAGCTTGTGTATCTCAATTAACGTCCTTTTTATTGCATGGTAAGAACTAAGTTATTGCTACATAAATTTGTAATATATCCTGTTTGTATTTTTTTTCCAAGTGTATAATGTTGGTGTGGAGTTTTCATGACAGAATATACACATTTTGTAAATCTGTACTTTTTCAAATATTGAATGCCTTATTTTTGAATTCTTTAGATTTTTAAATTGGAGAAAAGCACTTAAAAAGTTTTTATATATGAATATTTCATGTAAAACTGTTAAATACATAACCTTAGTGCAAGACATTCTGCTCTCACTCTCTTTTTCCAAGGGCTCATTTTTTTGTCCATGCTGTTGATACCCTGCACTTTACAAACAGAAAAGTTAATCCACAATGCAACTGTCTTCATGGCATGTCTTTGCTTTTGCACCACAGCTTGACTTGATTCATTGTGACCTCAGTTGTATGAGGAAGAGACATTTTGGTAGCTGCCAATTACAAATGGGGAAACAGATGTTAACTAATTTGCTAAAAGTCCCACCTTAAACCAGCAGCAGAGTTGCAAACATAACCTGGATGACCAGGCTTGATAAGAACGTATTCTAATAAGTTTTATTTTTCTGAAATATTGTATCTTACAAACCTGGAAACGTTGTCATCTAAATCTGTCCTATATTCACATAGTGATACTGTAATATAGTTTTGAATATCTTCTAATAATTAAAGAGGTTTCCCATTAGTTTCCCTTGGGGGGAGGGAAAAAATTAATCACCAACGAAAGAAAACATGTCTGCAGATTTAATGGAGTTATTCTTTAAAGCTGGACTGTGTACTGTGTGGTCAGGTCTCATGTCTGTATCACAGAGGCTCCACATATTCTTGAATTGACAGTTTAAAGAACTTTGGCTTTGTTTTTGTAAGTGTTGATGTGGTGGTAATTTCTTACTGTATTCTGTAAACCAGGCTAGCTGACTGCAGTAAAGAATTAAGCCATTTTTTTTCTTCCAGGATTAAAATTGTAACAACTTTTCATAATTCCAGCCAGCATTACATATATATTAAACTCCCCAAATCCTGTACCAAAATACAGCTCAGTGGTGCCTAAAAAGCAATGGCAATTGATTTCACCTAGAAAAGAAAGTGTTGTTCATTTGCAGCAGTCATTACTAGAAGTTATTCTCAATGCACTGAAACAAAAATATCAATTTACACCTCACACCTGCTTGTAAAGGTCTGTGGCTTCTAGGAGCAGCACTCAAGTTTAGGAATGGCACTCAGAATACTCCCAAACCAGACTCTGACAGTAGCTTGTGGAGTAAAACTGCTGTGCCTTGGGTAAGCATTAGTGTACACAGGCTCAGAAAATATCAATGCTGTGTAATAACTTTGCTCTCATTAAGTCAGTTTGCTTTCCTTGAATTGCTGAATTTGTGTTTAAGAATTTTTCAGTCTATGTCTGATTAATAACAGAAACTCCAAAGGATCCAATTTGCTTTTGGTTGTGGTGAAGTTTCAGTAACACTGGCAAATTGGTGCTACGTGGCTTAAAACATCAATGCAAAGATTTTTTTTGTTCATGAATTTAACATGGAAAAGCTTCTCCCTTCTAAGAATTAATCTAAACTTAGATTTATTTTTTTTTTAATTTGCCTCCTCTTTCAGTATATTTGTTCCTTTGACGTGTGCATGAGCTGAGATTTGCTGTTCATTAGCATTCACATTAATTTGATTTTTCCTAAACAGCCAGTTTGGCCCAGTTATAGATTGATGACGCTCAGAACATGTTTTTATGTCTCTGGGATGTGTGAGAAACAAAATTGGAGCAGGGGTTTAATTAATGATGGGCACTGCAGGCTGCCTGTGCAAACCCACCCTGTTCAGGAGCAGGTGTGTCTGAGAGCATTCTGTGCAGAGGGCAGAACTTGGAGCCTACACTTGGTAAAGTCTGGCTGGAAAATGTCCTGCTGTCCCTCAGACAAAGGTGAGGTGTCCTGGGGTGGGGAGGTGTAGGGGGATAGAATATTAGAAAATAAAGGTAGTATAGAAAGTAATCTTGCCCTAAGGAGTTGCAGCTGGGGTAATTATTAAAGATTAGGAGCAGGCCTGACTTTAACAGGCCACAGCTGTAGCCAATAAGAAGAAGAGTGCTATAAGAGAGTGGGGTGGCTGGGTGAGGGGGAATTGGAGTCAGTTGGCTGCTGTGAGAAGAAGAAAGAGTCAGTGCTCTGAGGAGCTGCCCTCAAGCAACACCAAGAAGGTGTGGAACTCTTGCCATAAGGAGGCAACAGTATGGAACACCTGAAATATAATGACAACAGAGAGGAGCATTCCCTTGCTCCCCAGATTTCCCACAGTAACACTTGAGATGACTCTGCAGGCTCTGTGGGAATGGTGAGAATCCAGGCTGCAGGGTGACCTCTGGGGACACACTGGGACAGAGGAGCTGCTGGTTCTGCAGGTGGGGTCCTGGAGCAGCTGGGGGCTGCATGGGGCATCCCCAGGGGCTGTGGGAGAAAGGGTGACTTCTCTGAGCCCTCCACCAATACACATTAAAAACAATCAGAGAGCACAGGTTAAAATCTGCTAAAACTTGCTAGAAAACAGATATATTGCCAGGCAGGAGGAAGCAGGCCAGAGGTCATGGTGTACAGGATGCAATGTGTGTGAGCTGTCAGCACTCACTGGTGCTGCTCAGGGCCACAGGTTCCTCTTGGAGCCTTCACATGCCCCTGTTCAGCATCTCCAGTGGGTTTAGATGTACTGACAGTTCAGGCCTGTGTGTTCCTCACTGCTCCCACCTCCCTCCTTTTGGACCATCTGGTCCCTGGGCTGAGCCCTGCCCTGAAGCTGTGTGTGGGTGCTGAAACAACAGGTCAGGAGTAATGAGCAGATGAAACAGGTAATGGACAGATGAAAGCCCTTTCCCTCTACAAAGAGCAGGAGTGATGACAAAGACAAAAAGGTTCAAGTGCACTGATTCATAAGAGCACTCAGTAGTCACAATAAACTTTGTGGCACAGTTACCTTCTTAAATAGTATACTGGGATGGTTGATTTTTAATGTATTAGGAGATGTAATGCACTAAGCTTGTTAGTACAGTGGGATTAATTAAGGAAGGGCTGGTGGGTTCAGAGTTTTGGATTTATAGCTTTTCATGGGGCTTTCATTCATTGATATTAAACAGTTCATAATCACTTCCATTGCATTCATATAAAGATTGAAAAACAGTGGAGATGTCTTTAAATTATTCACCCCTGAGTTTTTGTCCTACATATCCATGTTATTCCCCTGATTTTACAGGTGGACAGACAGGGGCATCCAGGTTTGCAGAGTTCTTGTGTCAGGAAGCCATTGGTGGGGCTGTGGGTGTGAACCATTCCTGGGCATTCCCCAGTCCGAGTTTCAGGTATAAAAACACCTTTGCCTTCAGGTTTATCACACTAACATTATTCATAAGAAGAATCAAACACTGCACTGCTCGTGCTGCTTTCTTCAGATCTCAGTTCCCTAAAGATGTCTCATCCAAATGCAGTCCCAAGCCAGAACTACGGGACTTGGATCTTCACAAATGTGATTAACTTCACTCGCGTGAGTCGTCCCTTTGGGATTCTTCACCATAGTACAGATAAATGTGTGTAATTGAAGAATCAAGGCCTTAGGCTGTGAGAAGTGAAGAAATCACAGCTTGAGGTACTATATCTGCAGCTTCTTTGTGGGAGGTTTTGTATTAATAGTCAATTAATTCAGTGTGTCAAACAAATAAAGCTCTTAAATATTTAGAGATTAGGAGGTGCCTAATAAAAAATTTACAGGAAAAAAGGAAGATTCCCAGATCACTACAGGGGCATTGAGATATTCAAAATAAAATAGGTAGGATAATGTAGACAGTTAAATACTTCACATTTAACATGTCAAGAGTGTGTGAGAATAGCTTTTGATGTATATAAAAATGCACCAGGAGAGGAAGCGACTTCTCATCCGGCCAGACTTCCCAGCCTGTGTTTTTATTTGAGGTTTTTACTGTTTGTGGAAGCTGTCCCAGGCAAATACTATGCCTTATTTGTTTGGAATTGTTTTCTGGAAGAGGAAAGGTGTAATCAGCAGGCAATCTGCTGTAATGTGTGAGTTGGCAAGGCAGGTTCTCCACCTCTGCTTTGGGGCTCCATGGTGAGTGGCTGGTTGGACCGTGAGTGGGAAACAGTGACCAGAGACTCTGGGTGAGTGGGCAGCATTTGTGTGAGCAGTGCCAGCTCCAGCACTCTGTTTAATTTGTTGTTCAAGTATTAAAACAATTATCTGACCTCCTCTTCCTTGATTTTGTTAATCTTTCTAATGGAGGAGCTTCAGCAGAGTACAGAATGTGTGTGTCCCGTGTTGTCACACTGACAATGGATCACAGACCCTCCTCAGCACACCCAAATTCCTTAGAAGTGTAAAGTGGTGTAAACCCTTGGATCCAGCCTTGGGCCATATGAACACCTGTAGCTAGAGCAGTAAATGATTTAGGAGGTGTTCTTTTTATTTCATTAAAGTTTTGGGGATAAAACCAGTCCAAAACTAGAAGACCAGCAAAGAATCTGTGTTATTGCAGGCAAGTGGACAGTTTTGGTGAACATAAATCTTCACAGATAATCTCTGGAAATTTCTTCATATTCATGATGGTGAAAGAGGTGAGAGGAAAAGGAGCTAACTCTAAAAAAAATTAAATATGCAGAATCAATGAACAAACCCCATAAACAGGATGCTGCACTGCTTTAGTTGTGCATTCAAAGGATATGACTCTTATAGAAAATAATTTATCTTGGATTATGTGTGTGTATGTACATAGGAGAGGGCTTTTTGAGCTATTAGAGAAACTTTAGGTAGTAGTGTTTGAAAATAAATGGGCTTTAGGATTTGAGGAGTTTTTTGCTTAGCACTGTTACTGCATCCTGAGTTCATCTCACAGCTCAGCCACCATGAGCAGAGAACAAAAAACAGGCAGAACTTTTTAGACTTTCTGATAATGACTGTAATTAGCATCACAAGCTATGGAAATTGTGATATTCCCTAAAGATTTCTTGTCATTATCCTCGGTTTCTGCATTGAAAATAAAGATTTTTAAGACAGGGTATCTTCTGTATTTGGTACTGTCCCACTAATGGTAATATTCAGCCTCCGTGACTGCGTGAATCCATTCTTAATGCTGGTGTCTGCTGTGGTCTGTGTGAAAGCTGTATCCTGCCAGAAAGCAAACATGCTCCTCCCAAGCAGGGGATGTTGTTCAGCATCCAGATGAGCCCTTGTTCATGATGTGGTCAGAGC